CTGTGTAGCTTGGAACATCCATGTACTAACTGGACCATAGAATATTTAACATGCAACTTCTTTTACCTACCTGGCTTGATAAAGTTAGGGTTCATAGAGAAGAGCTATCAAGATGTTAAAGGAATAAAGGTTTGCAGCGTTAAGGAACTTGGCCAGTATAGAACAAATTGCTCTCATTCAGCTCAAGGATAAACTGAAGCTCCTTTATAAAGATGGGATCAGCTTTGTTAATTCACTGACTATTTCTAATCAAAGACCTCTAAAATTGATAATGACAAGTGGGAAATTATTCATGGAAATACATATCTGACAGGGCTATTGTGGCTCTCCATATCAGCTCTGGTTGCGTCTTCACATACTTGCTAATCAAAATTTGGCCTTAGAAAAGTTGATCAGCTAAGCATTACTGAAATTTCCTTTTGAAGTTAACTGCTGATCCAAAGCACTCAGGATTTCTCTTGAATACCACCAAGTTCATAAACATGTGACATGCTGAGAAAGCACTATGACCCCTATCCTAACTAACTCTGCCAACTGTCAGGGCCCCCTGGCTACTTACTGATGCATCCATCAAATTTTTGCAGGTGTGTCCTTGGACTTGACCTTTATATTCACTTAGATCCTAACCAGGAAATAAATTATGGCCTAGACCACACCTGACTTAGAATGGAATAAACATTGCAACTAGTTCCTCACTCATTTTGTAACCTCAGTAATCAGAAAAGGTTTACAGCCACTTCACCTTTCCAAGGAGGTGATATGAAAGTTCCATTAAGGTTAACAACATTGATTAAAATTAAGCCTCCACGATAAAGGTTACACTGGGACCCACTAACGTTCCATTGCTCCTTAGCACAGCCAGAGGCCCAGCAGGGTATTGGCTGCTATTTCTGGGGAAAGGCCCATCAATCTTGTGTGTGTTGTGTGTGTGTGTGTGTGTGTGTGTGATAGGTAGTGGTCATTTTTAACCCTCTCATGGGGAAGAAGAACTAAACAGGATGGGGAGGCTATTCCTACTTCCTCAGGCTAAAGAGAAGGTGGAGGTCTAGAGGTTCCTTATTCTGCAGCCAGGCTCCTGGGCTCCCATTGTCTTCTCCCTAACCAGCCTTCTTCAGCATGGGGGCTGCCTCACTGAGTAGACCCAACAATTCAATCAAGAAGAATTTGAGCTGGCCTTGTGAGTAATAGTCATCAGAACGAGAAGGTGTAATTGCTGGTTATTGTACTTTGTGCATGTTTTCACAGAGATGTAAAGAAACTGGCTTGCTTGAAAAAACTCAGATATTCAAGATTCCCCTTTAAGCATCTTGCCCACCTATCCTTGATATCCTATTTTCAAAGTAATGGACCACCTTATACTCAAGGCTCTTCGTTAACTGAGTTATTATCTTTCCTCCTGTAACTTTTAATCTTTGTTCTGTTCCAGTCACTTGAATGGACTTGAGGCCTTGATCCTCTGTAAATGTTGGCCATTTATATTCCTTGACTCAGGCTGATGGTCCCTGAAGCCACGGTAGCCCAGTAGGCACTGCTCCATCCCTGTTACTGGGACACTCTTGGACTCACACTTATGGGTACATCTGACCAGTGTGTTCATATTGTAGAGTCATTGTTAAGTCTAGGAGCTGCTGGTAGACTCATTTTCAAGTCTCAGATAACTTATCCTCATCTTACTCCTGCAAAATGACACTCCCATCTATCTGACTTTCCTGGCCCCTCCTTCTGACTCTTCTGGCGAGAGAATGAAGTCTTCGGAGCCCAAAAGTTTGTATTTCTAGAACATTTCTAACATTTTAGTGTTGAAAATAGTTATTCTACATCTTTGACCCAAAGTCTCTTCATTTCCCTAAAGACTAAGTCAATAATATTAAGCTCATTTGGCAGTTTTCGAAGGTTAAATTAGCCAATGTGCATATGTCAAATGAATATAGATACCAGCTCTTCTTCTCTGAAGTGGAGTCACCCCACTCCTCCTCCTTCTTGCTTCCTCCCTCCTTCTGTGCCTTTCTTCCAACAAAAGTCACAGAGAACCAGGCCCTTTGTCTACAGTGTGAATAGAACTCTCAAATCGTTCACAGTCCAGCCTGAGAGACAAAGGCACAAATCAATAACTTTAATCTACTCTGTAGAGGCCATTAAAGAGAAGGAGGCAGTGTACCAAAGCTGAGTTCTCTCACCATCTCTTTTCCAAAGATAAAGAATAGGGTGAGTCTGCCAGTATACAGGTGTGAATGTCACATTATCTTTTAATGTTCTTTATGTGCGGGCTCTTCAGAACATCATTAAGAGCAGTTGATCCATCCTTGATATTGTTCTCCATCAGGAAGGCAGCATGAAACATTACTTTTGGTATTTGTTCAAAATATAAAGTTTCTTTCAACACTGGCAAAAGAAAGAGCATTGAAAATGTATCTCATGTACAAAGCTAACCTGGAAAACTGAGGAGAATCTCCTCCCCCTTTTCTCTCCCAAGTAAGCGTTTTTGTTCCCAGGATTAGCTAGACTGGTGCTGGATTTTTCAATTGAACCACCTTAAAGATGCAGTTGGTAGTTGGTAGTCATTCAGTCGTATTCTGAATAAAGGTCAAGTTGGCTATTGGGTTTGGAATGTGAGAGCCCAATGTGAGTGATACCTGGCCCTCAGGCTGCCTGCCCTTCCTCCCCCACCTCTCCTGCACAGGTGAGCTTCCTTGGCCCCCCTGGTTCCTGGCTCAGAGGTACCTCCCTTCATCTTGTCAGACAGTAGGAAGAGGGTGATGTACTCCACAGATGTGATCAGGGTCTTCATTTTCTTGAAGAGAAGTGCTTTCAGTTTTGGGAGGAAAGATCTCCTTTCAAGGGAAGGATTTTTATAATCGTTTGTGATTCATAGCATACTTCCCATTCAGGATTATATGTTGAGGGAAAGAAACTTGACTCATTTAGGGAAGCCCATAAAGCTGGATAAAATTGTGTAAAAATGTAATAATTTTTTCCAAACACTTTGCTAGAAATCATGCTGTGATACTTGGTTCCTACCACAGCATGGTGAGGCAGGTGGAGCAGGAATTATCTTACCAAATTATAGAGGAGGAAACTCTGGTTCCCCAGAGATGAAGTGCTTGCCCCAAAGTCTCCTAGTAGCATCTCACATGAGGACCTCAGAATTACCTTTTCTAACTTTCCTTTGCTTTTCTAAAACCCCCCATTACTTCCTCAGCTCAACTGTGTGACTATCCAGACCTACATTTGGTTTAATATGATTGAATTATTCATCTAACTTAGTCATTACAAGAGACAAGCATCAAATAATGTAAATTCCACTAAGTTCTCTCTCCATAGATTTATCCTCTCCCAAATTAGTTTACTTATTTACAAACTAGCGAAATTAACTTAGGTGATAAATATACATTTTGGGGGAGAATATACAAACTACCAACGACATACTATATTTGAGTTTGTCTTTATATTTAATGATACTCCAGGTGCCTAAAATAGCTCTAGGACAGAGAAGGTGCTCACTGAAAGATTACTCTGTGGCATAATGCTGGGAAAGGACCAGAAATCCATTTGGATCTTTAATCTGGAGATAGGGATAGGGGAGTCAGTGCCTTCATCTAATTCAAGTGCAAAGAACAGTGAGGAAGGAAGCCAGGGGTGATAGACTTCCATCTGGATAACTATGTTTAAAATGTCTGTTTTAAAAAAAAAATTCATGGGGACAAACATAGTGGCACACACCTGTAATCCTGGCAGCTTGGGAGGCTGAGGCAGGAAGACCCCAAGTTCAAATGTAGCCTCAGCAATTTAGCAAGGCCCTAAGCAACTTGGTGAGAAGTTGTCTCAAAAAATAAAGAAGGGCTAGGGACGTGTCTCAGTGGTTAAGCACTGGGGTCCATCTTTGGTCCCCCAAAATAATAAATAAATAAGTTAATGCAATTTTTATGAATCAAAGAATTCAGTTTGGTGCATCACCCTAAACAAATATGGGTACTAATCTGAAGATTAGTGACCCAGAGACTTCTTGGTAATGTGAGACACTTCCTAGGAAGTAAATCACACCAAATGACTTAGAGGTTTTGAGACTTGATGTGGTCAGAAGCATATGATAAGCTTGTCAAAATTTTAATTTATATGGCTGGGGCTGCAGCTCGGTTGATAGAGTGCTTGCCTGGTACATGTGAGGCACTGGGTTCGATCCTCAGCACTACAAAAAAATGAAATAAAAGTACTGTGTCCATCTACTATAAAAATATTAAAATTTTTTGTTTTAATTTACACTGATTTGTCCCCAGTGGTTCTGATGGACTCTGTAGATCCCAAGGATCTGCTTATTAATCTACTAGGCCATTCTGTTAGAGGTGGTCTGAAGGCCAGCCACACTTTCAGGATTTTGTGGTATCTAGAGTAGTCAAAGTCATAGTTACACGAAACTATGATGGTTGCCAGGGATGGGGAATTCATGTCTGAGTGGTGCAGAATTTTAGTTAATGCAAATGAAAATATCTGATAAAGGATAAGAGGTCATGGTTTCACAAAAATGTGATTATAATTAATGGTAGTGAACTATATACATAAAATGGTTAAAATAGCAATTTTCCAATTATCTATGAGGTACCACAACTTTTTAAAACAGGATTTGTAATGCAAGAGCTAGTTATTCTTTAAAAATACTGCTGTATCTTTGCTGTATCTTTCTTACTAAGTGTTGATAAAGATAACAGGTATCTCTAGTTTCAACTGTCATAATTTGTAGTCAGTGATGGATTAATATTTTATAAGTTAATCATCTCTTTATGACAGAGAAAAAATAATGGACTCACTAAAAGAGACTGAGGAAAACTTTATTTGGGCTTTATTCAGAGAAAACGGATTTCTTGTATATCCACAGTCTGACCTAATGAGAGAATCTCAGCGAGTTCCTCCACCTGCCTCACTGCTTCTCTAAACTGGATGCACCTGATTTTGCCTTGTCTTGTTCTTGCAATCAAAGCATGTAGTGATACTCATGCTCTTTTCAGGATAGGGTGTGGGCCAACGTGGGGAAGAGCCTGAACTGCATTATTGCTATGGTAGATAAACTGATTGAGAGAGATGGCGGTAGCGAAGGCTGCAGCGGAGGCAGCAAAGATGGAGAAAAGGACCCTTCGCTAGTGGACTCCATCACATCTCACCCAAGGGGTAAGGAATCCTTTTTTTTCCCCCCTCCCAATTATTGACTAAGTAAATCCAATGAAAAAATCATGATGAAATGAGATAGAAAAGGAGAAGTCAACAGTGCCTTTCCTGAAAGTGCTGGTAGCAGACTTCCACTGCTTTGACTTGGAGGATAGAAGACTATCAAAATGGATCCTAGTTGTGTTTTCAGAATTGCTTGCAAGGCCTATTTTTTTTTTTTTCTTTTGCTACAAAGAACAGTGCTTTCTCTTGAAGGGTCTGAAAGAGTTTAATCTACTTTCACACATTCTCCCGAAATTTTAATAGAAAGAAAAAACAAAAATTGCTTTTAATTCTTACAAATTTGAGGGATACCAGGACACAGTTATTTCTCACAGTTCTTGAACAGAATGCAGTGTGATAGATGTTTTTTGCCGTATTTTTTTTTTTTTTTTTTTTGGTACTGGGATTGAACCAGGGACACTTTGCCACTGAGCTATATTCCCAACCCCTTTTCCTTTTTTATTTTTGGTTTTGTTTTGAGGAAGGATCTTGCTAAATTGCTTAGGGCTTTATCAAGTGCCCGAGGCTTGCCTTGAACTTGTGATCTCCCTGCCTCAGTCTCCTGAGTCGCTATGACAATGGGTGTGCACCACCATAAGAAGCCCTGAGGGATTTTTTTTTTGTGACCATATCAGAAGGTTTGAATCTGAAAACTGTGTTTCTGCATTATTCCAAAAAACATGTCATAACAATAGATTTCCACACAAACACATGCATACACATGTGAAAAAAAGAAAGGAGAGGGTGAGATTTTCAAATGCATGTCATATTCACAGGTTGACTAGCAAATCTTATAGAATGTCAACTGTAGTTGTATCCCCATAAATAGCTTTTATGATTATTTTTGTTAATTTTATTAATCCATACAAAAATATTTCTTTATGGTAGTAGGAACTGATATTAGATTTGACTTAACCTTTTTTGCTAAGTATCTTGTTTTGGAGAGAATAAACACTATTTGTCTACCTACTGAAATTTGTTCTTTATTTACTTTAGGAAAATGAGTCCTCAGAAGGTATAGATGTCTATAAGATTAAATTTGTGTTTTCCAATTTGTCTTCCCGACTTCCATTACTGACATTTTCATCAGGAGTTTAATTATGTAAAACATCCATCTCTCATTACTTGATTAACAGCAGACCCTTTTCTTAATCACATTTGTAAACCACAGCTTTCCAATATCGCCTTATTAACGATGGTCCCTCTTCCTCTATTACACACTCACACAACTGAAAAGTCTACAGAGGATTGTGTTTGTATGATGATTGTATTTGGTATTCTTCATATTCATACTTAATTGGTCTCACTGTATATGGGGCTTTTCTTGTTTAATAATATCACTTTGATTAGCTAATGAATCTACAGTTCTATAACTTCACATGAATCAAAATGAAAGCTTGTCATAGCTATATCATAAAGAAATAGTGTACTTCAATTTTCTTTAATTGAACATATATTGACTATGAACTGTGAGCCAGACACTCTTGTGCGCTGGCAAATCAGGTAAGTGAGCAGAATTAAAAAATGAAGAGACTTATTTTATCCATAGATTGGTTTCCTAGACATAATATTTTTAGCAGAAATAAAGGATAACAGCTATTGCCACATTTTTTGTTTGGTGTTCCCCAGATGGCTCTTGAAAAAGAGAAATATTCTAATATTTGAAATGCCATACTTTATCTACATCTTATGTTTAGAAGATTGTACATGTATGATACAGATTATATTTTTAAAAAATAAAAAATATTTTGTAGACAAATCAGCCATAAGATTAAATGAACTGATTTTATTTGAATGTGAAGCAATGAATACACACCTTCTAAGACCAGACAGTACTTGCTGCAAATATAGAAATCACAACCAGATCATTGGTGTGGATAGTTAGAGTCAAACTACAACATACTGTGTTCTAATTTATTTTAAGTGTCTTATTTTTATTTTGTTACATATATTTATTTCACCCATTGTCCATTTTTCATTATGTTATAAAATTTTAGATGTCATTATTTAAACGTATAAGATAAAATATTAATTTTGCATGAAATTATTTAACATAGTATACATTATTAAATTATTCACTGAAACATTAAAATTTTGCATGCTATATAGTTACATACAGAGTGCTTATTCTAGAGAGAAAATTGACACATAAAAAATGCTTAATGTGTATAAATATTTTACAAATGAATGTGCTAAAGTATATATACATTCTATAGATACATCCTATAGATGCAGTAGCATCTTATTATAGATGTTTGGATTCAACTGATATATATATTTGGATTCAACTGATGAGTTCACTTAATTAATAAAAACATTGAAATTTCAAATATTAATTTAATACATATTATGTATATCATATTTCATTCGAAAATTGTATCTGTATGATAAAAAATAACACTTTAGAAAGTAAAATTATTTGGTAGAAAAATGATCTATAAGAGTAGATGAATCTTTTTTTTATTCATATGTGAGACATTGTGTGGACATATTCCAAAACAAGATAAAGTTAATAATTTATACCCTTCCTCTTATTTGCAGGGGGGGGGGGGGGTGAGACTTTTGTTTCTACCTAACTTTTTTCACATAAAGCAATGCAGTAGAGAAATATATGGTGGCCTTTTAAGCTAGCGTAAACAAATGAAGAAAGTCATGTATTTGCCTGTATTATGGCCCAAACTATTTCTATTTAAAATATTTGAGGTATGCATTCCCTGTTGCCAATTACCTGTATTTTACAAATTTTATACATGAAAGTGAAAACTTGGAAAATTTGTAAACAAAATCCAATACCATCATGCATGTTTTTTTTTTTTCTTATTTCAATGTGACTTTACCATTTTGAACATTTCCTATGTTAATACATCCACATACTCACAGTCACACACACAAATACACAACGTTCACACTCATGTGTATTTTAACCAAATTGAAGCACACATTATAAATACAGATGTTGAGTGTTTTGTGTATTCATATTTTCTCAGACATTTTGTGGAATTTTAATAATTGTAAACTAACTCACCTCCAGGCAAACCACCATTTCAGGTATTCAGTTATTATAATAATGCTGGAATTAATGGATTAATGCACAAGCAATTTTGAATATATAAATCTTCATGTTTCAAGTATTATCTTTTACATTAGATTGCTAGAAGTCCCTGTTCATTTATTTAGCTTATCTACTTAATTATGTATTCATGGATACAACTTATCTATTTCTATCAATGTGAGATCATAAAAATGTTCTATATCCTATGGTTTGTAATCTATTATTAGTATTTATCTTGACTCAAATTGTTCCAGATTTAGCCTCGGGTGCTCTGTGCTTCTGTGTCCTTTTGATGATTTGCTCTCTCCCACTGTTTAGTCCTTCACTTTAGTCTTCATTCTTCCTTCACTTTCTCACTTTCTTTACTCCCTGCCTTATCATAAGTGCTCCAGGCTCATCTTGCATTTCTGAGTTCCAGGTCCACCCACTTTCCAGGGAACCCTAGTTTCTTTCAATGGAGAATAGCAGTTAGAAACCCGAACCCGAGCGTGTAGGCATTTGTTACTCATCTTCCCAGCCTTAAATAGTTTCACGGACTTCATGCTATTTGGGGTGAAAGTTACCGTAACTTCTGCTTTTCTGTGAAGTTGACATTGTATGACTTATTGCTGTATTTCAAAATATTGTTCTTATGATACAGTCTATTTCTTAAATATGTATTAATTTAATATGTATCCTCATCCCCTTGCTATGGTAGAAAATCCTTCCTGCTTTCCCTTGTTTACAATTAATTAGTGAACTGATGGAGTGATTTGAGTCATCTGGTATTTATTATAATAGATGATGTGATAAGGGATAAATATTGTTAGGCTTTATTTATTTATTTATTTATTTATTTATTTATCTATTATGATGATGATGATGATGATGATGATGTGTGTGTGTGTGTTTTACTGGGGATTGAATCCAGGAATACTCTTCCACTGAGCTACATCACTAGACCATTTCACTTCTTTTTATTTCATCATGAGACAGGGCCTTGATAAATTGGCAAGGCTGACCTTGAACTTGCAATCCTCCTGCCTCAGCGTCTGGGGTCACTGGGATTGCAGGCATGCACCATAGAACCTGGCATATTAGGCATTTTTGCACCATCATTTATTAAGGAGTCTTCATATTGTATCATTTCTTGTTTTTATTTCCTTTACAGATTAAGTTCTGCAAGTAATTCTAATAAATTTCTTGAATTTTATGTTATATACAGTTATACTATCTTTTGTATTGGAATATATTTCTAAATCTTATAGGGTAAATCAAACTTATACTAGTTTTTCTTTCTTCAAACCCTCCGTTATTTTTATGTTTTATCTGTATTTGTGTTTGTTTTGCTGTTTTATATTTTACATGGCTACACAGTGGTCTTGTGAATTATTACCATGTTTATCCATTTTCTTATGCTCCTCTTTGACCTATAAATATTTCTCATCAGGTTGTAGGTTTTTCTTATTACAGTATATTAATTTAATAGTATTTTAAATTTGTAGTTTGAAGGATTTCTGCTTGTTTATTTTGGAACCAGAATGTTATGATATATCTTTTGCTTGCTTAATAAATTTCTTTTCAGCATGAATACATATAGAGAGAAGTAAAACTTTCCCGACTGTTTTGAACACAAATAATAGAATAGCCATTCCAAACATCTATAGCATGTGTGTGCCTAGTGAACACAGATTGTTCTTATATTTTCAATACATATAAATACATTTATGGGCATCTGTTGTATGTGTAGAATCACTTGCCTTAAATTTCATGATAAATCGAGAACTCAAAGATTAAATCCGAGAATATTAAAATCTTAGATTTGATGGGGTCTTAAAGACCATGTAATGAGACCTCCTAAATTATGTTAAGAAGCTTGCCCAGAATATCTCTGCCAGTTTTCACCTAGCCTCTAATGCGCATCTCCAGT